GAACGAAACTAGAAACATAGCATTTCTATGGGTTCTGCTGAAAGACAGCCAGGCTTTTTATAGTTTAAAAAAAATCCATTATGAGTCTAGTTTTTGTTTCGTGATAAGTTTTACGGCACTTGCAACACAAGAAGGTCATGTAATATAAGTGCCGAAGATTTGGCTACCGACGCCACTCTTCTTCAGGGATCAGGTGCAGGGTACGCAGTTCTGCATCGCGGGGGGCGACTCGACCAGATCGGATTATTTGTCGAATCAGATAATCTGATGTGTCGCAGGTGGGTGTGAGCAGATGGGGGCTCGTTCGTTCGTGATGCGAACAAGTCGGATTCTAAAAATCTAAACATTCGAACTGCCTTCCGTGACATCATTTGATAGGCCTACCGTGGCTTAAAAGGGACACGATAATGGTTTATGCATTTAACGTGTTTCAGTCTGCCCTGACGTCACACGGTCTATCAGCTGTTTTTTTTAAGTTAATAAAAAAAACTAGCCTTGATTGTAAAGGCACTTGTAACACAACTCGGTCATAGTACTGCCTAAGATTAGAGAGTAACAGACACACAAGGAAGAAGGAGGAGAGATTAGGATGATAGATATTTGATAGGAAATGACCAAAACCACGCAGGAGCAGCCATCAAATCAGAACAAACAACACCTCCTGTGTTTTTCTTTATATCATTCACGTAAGTAAAACGATAACATATCTATGCTTGATTTACAAACAAAACGCTGACTCGACAGCCTACACGATAAATTTTACACATATCTAAACAGACGTGTTGACTTTTTTTTTTTACATTCCACCCGTGTTGCTTTGTCAGATATCCAGACACAAAACGTCTTTGTCTTAGTGGAGAAAACAAGCTCAAATCATTGTGGCTGTTTTCTTCTTGCTCTACCTTGTACAGCCCGGCAACGTCAGAAAATATGGGACGTCGGGCCCGGAGATGTAAAGGCTTGATTGTGAAAGGTACACAAACAGTTGGGGGAAGATCACAGAGACGTGCATGTTATAAAACAAGGAATGCGTCCATTCTCTCACACTGTTTAAACTAGCCTGCCTTGAAAAAAGAGTTCAGCGTCGGTCGATTCATGGTGATACGAAGTCAAAGTCCACAGACAGAAAGAAAGTACGTGGCATTACCCAGTCTTGCAAATAACGCAAGAGCAGCATGAGTTTAAACGGCACCTTTTAATTAAAACACACATACACGCACCCGCGCGCGCACACACACACACACACACACACGCACATGCATACATACATGCACGCGCTTACACACACATGCATGCGCTCACACACACATGCACGCGCGCGCGCACACACACACACACACATGTACGAACACACATACACACACACACAAACACACACACACA